TTGTAACATTGTGTGACTTCATTCCTACGTGTCTGAATAAAGCGACTGTTCACGCCCCCAGAGGTCAGAAATTTCTCTGTGCTTCACTGAGCTCACAAGCGAGGTTAAGTATCACTGAATTTCTCCTTTGCAAAGTGAAACAAAAAACTTACTGGTCTCTCTGTTGTCAATTGTTTAAATGTTTGGCGGGGTTGTGTGTTTCTCTGAGTTCTAGGTTAAAAAATACCAGACAATAAATCAATAGCGATATGTTATGTTTTAAAGAATAAATTAAATGTGGTTTACGTTGTATTATTTGCTAATTTAGATTCAGCACAGCTTTATTTGTGATTTGTTAAAACAAGTTATGATGATCAAATGTATTTTTATAAATTAGTGTTTATATGCGTATTAAAAAGACTAAATATAATTTAATCTTACTTACAGATTCACTGACAGCAGCTGCTCTGTGACAACAGCTATCTTTGTGTTATTTGTAACATGAGGAGTAGCTCTTAGGATTCACTTGGAAATAAGTTTTAAATTAAATTTCAAACAGTTCTGGCAAAAATTATTGCACTTAATATTCTGATACTTTATTCTTTTTTACTATGTATTTGAGGGGTGTTGGAATGCCTCCCTGATAAAATTAATCACTGTTAAAACTTTGATAAATAGTATTGTTTATTGACAGATGGTCGACCTTGTTTCTGTTCTGCAGAGGCTGTTCTTCAGGAAGGAGGCCGTCACTTTGTCTAATACTGGAATGATGTGACACTGAATTAAAATAAAGTTATATTCTTAGTGAAGTATTTTTCATCTGTTACCAGAAAGTGTATTTTTTCCATAAATTTCTAGTTTTATTGGGATAATTTTACAAGCATATTGTTAATAAATGTTTTGTATATTTACAGTTTGTACATTTAGTTGTTAGTATACTGGTTATGCCATTTTGAAAAATGTGAATATAGTTAATGCACAAAGTACTTTTTTTTACCTGTAAATTTACATTAGTGCTAAATCTTAGCATACTTGAAACCAGTATACTGAAAGTATGCTATTTTGGAACAACTAATTTTATACTAAATATATTTATTTGTAATTAAATTGTTTTAAAAAAATCACAATTTGAAGTGTATTAAGTGTACTATTACATACTACTGTGGAACTTCAAGTATACTTAGTACACTTTAAGTGTATAGTTTTGTCTACACATTTAAAGTGTACTAAGAATATTTGAAGTTGTTCCATTTTAGTATTTAAAAGTACACTTAATACACTTAAAATTGTGACTTTGTACAGCTTAAATACAACTAAAGTATATTTAGTATTAATTAGTTGTTCCAAAATAGCATACTTTCAGTATACTGATGATTAGTATGGCTTCAAGTATACTAAAGTATACTTAGATTTAGTAATATTTTTGAACTGGGCCCTCAGTCATCCCTGTACCTGGAGGGGCGGCTGACTGCCGACTGTGTGTGGAACATGTAGGTTCAATGGACCTCATGCAAGAACCGTTCGTACGCACAGATTTGTTCTTAAGTTGTGCGTACGAGTGATTTAGGAGAATTTGTGGCATTCACCAATGTTTTCATATTCTAAGATTTTTTTCAGATACGAACAAAATTCACGTGTGGTCCGTTGTATATTTTACGAGCAGTCTGCTGTTATCCAGATGGATTTTATTCACTAATAACTTTATATTTCGTTAGTTTGAAGA